GGGGGGGGGAGTGTTGGACGCTGACTGCGGAGCAGGGGCGCTCCGCGGCGGCGAAGGTCTCTCAATAACTTGCTGTGAACCCTTCAACTTCAACGAGGGCTTTTTCGGCTGCCTGTTCGTGGCGAACGGGAACCAGACCCGCGTAACTTTTGTGGGGGGCTCGTCGGTTGGGATCGGATTCCACAGTCACGCGCGTTATAACCATCCCTATATAACGCCCCCCTTTCGACCGCGCGCGGACGCGGACACCCACCCCACAGGCGGTTGGTGGTGGTGGTGTGAAAAAGTTTGCCCGGCTGGTCTTTTCTTTTGTTTTCGACAAGTTCACGCGTAGGAAACGTTCGAAGCCGGCTCGGCAGCGAGGCAGAGGCATTAGTATGGCGTGTAGTGGTATAGCGGGGGCGGGGCACCCTCCCAGCCGCCTCGCTCGTTAGCAGTTTTCCGTTCCATTGGCCGCACAGAATTCACTCGCTCTCGGCGACCTCCCCCCATCACTCCCACGATCACCCGGACAAGCGGCGTGACTTAACCGCCTGATTTCCTCGACAATGAGCGAAAAGTTTTTAGCCCGACATCTCCTGCATTATTCGCTCCTTTTCTCCTCCATTTTAGACTGTGTTGCGTCATGCGATGTCCACCTGTAGTCGTTGCCCGGCGGCGCGGAGACCGGAGGGGGGGTGGGGGGAGTTATGTCCTCGAGCAACAAGAACAATCTCGGAATGACGTCATATTGACCTGTTATAACGTCCGGATCAAAGAAATAAAAATTATGCCCCGAGAAAAATGGTGTCCCTCCTCGTCATCCTCGTCCTCCGTCCTCCTTGTCACCTTGGGCACGGCGCAAACATCGTGCGCCCACGCCACGCCGCGAGCCTCCGCGCGCCACGCCACGCCAAGTTTGGTGTGGTTTACACCAAGAGGCCGTGTGGCCGACGGCGACCTCTGGGACACACCGCAGAGCACGCGGGGGTGGCCGGGCGGTCGGGGCCGCCGCCGGGACCCACCCCCGCCTGGTGCTGCTAATCAGCAGCTCGTCGAGAGGGTGGGGCGCGGGCCTGGGAGGGATAGGATAGCGAGTTACACAACGCAGACGCTGTTGCCCGAGGCCAGTGGAGGCGCTGGTGGTCGCCCCCTGCGGCCGTGGGTGGCCCGCGCACCATGAATGACGAGAGCCTCACCGATGCCCCTCTCTCTTCTCTGTTGCAGGGATGGCCAGCCTGCCGTGGGTGCCCTGGGCCACCAACCGCACCGAGGTGCTCTCGCCCGCCGAGATCGAGCGCATCGTGCAGATGCACAAGGAGTCCAAGCAGAACGCCGTGATCTACGTGCTGGTCGTGCTGGCGTTCTACTTCGTGGCGCTCAGCATCCTGGTGGGCCGCTACCTGCAGAACGAGCGCGACCTGGACCTCGTCATGTGCCTGGGCCAGGTCCTGGAGCGCTGCATGGCCTCGGGGCGGCGCGTGGCCGGGCCCGCCACCCTCTCGTCGGCGACCCCTGGACCGACGGCCCCGGGCGCCGCCCCGCTGCCCGCGCCCGCACCCCGCAAGTTCTCCCTCAAGCTGCCCTCCATCCAGCAGCCCCGGCGCCCGCCGCGGCCCCGGCACCCCATGACGGACGACGAGTCGTCCGAGACGTCCTCGCCGCCGTACTCGCCGGCGCTCCGCGGCCTCGCCGCCGCGTCGGCGTCCTCCTCGGACGAGGGCCCCCCGCCCTACGACGACGGCGGGCTGCTGGGGCCGCCCGGGGGCGGCGTCGCGCTCGCCAGCTGGTCGACGCACACGGCGCCGGGGCGCGCCTCGCCCGCCGTCGTCAGCGTCATGGTCTGCGACCTTCAGGACACGCCCGTGTAGGCGCAGGCGCCCCCGCGGCACGGGGCGTTGAAACGGGACCTACTAAGAACGAACGGCGCCCCCGGCACAGGACGTTGAGGCGGGACCTGCCCGGGACGCCCGTGTTGGCGTCTGACCTTGAGGGGGATGTTTGAACCCTCCGAGAGCCTGGACAGCCGCGAAGGTCAAACGTGGCAATCGCAGTATGGGTGCTGCGTGTGTATGGTCACGTGTATCATCGGGTCCTCTTACCGTCTGTGACCTCGACTCTCCCCGCAATGCCTGCCACCGCCACCCCTGGTTCAACAGAAATAGCTGTTACGGGCGCGAGCTTCATTTATTTACCCCCACAGCTCCCCCCTCCGCCCCGAGGGTGGTAGTGCCATGGGAGGGGTAGGTAGGGGAGGCGGGAGGGGGGAG